AGCCCGCGGCGGGCCCCCCCCCTGCCTTTCCCCAGCCGTCGTAGCAGCGAGGGCACAAGACGAGTGGGAGAAAGCGGACGACAAGAGCTGCAACCGGGAGGCGTGGAAAAGAGGTGCAGGGCGCTCGCCCACCCACCCCGTGCTCTTGTGCCTTGGGAAAGTGATCGCCACATGATGATTAGAGAGCGCCAAGCAAGCTGAAGCCACCTTCCCTGAGAGGCCCTTAGTGCCAGAGCAGTGCCACCACCAGTGCTGCCCCTGCAGGATCTGCAGCCCACCAGTGACTGGGAGGGGAGGGTGAGACTTGAGTGAGCAGCAAGCAGGCGGATTGGTTTGGGGAAAGGGAGGGAAGAAAGTCTACAAGCAGAGGACACAAACGTACAAGCTGGGTGGTTTGTACCGGCCTTTCTTGCGCTTTCTCTTTTGACCCTTCCCCTTTCCTCGCTTTGATTTTCTGGAAGAAAAACAAAAAAAACAGAGAAAGAGAGAGAGAGAGAAGGAAGGAAGAGGGGGGAGAGAGAGAAAACGGAAGAAAATGCAAGGAAGAGGAGGGGAAAAAAAAATACAGCCATGTGCCTTGCTGGGAGGGGGGAAGCACATGAGGCAGGACTGGAGGGCAAGTCCCGAGGCCGAAGCACAGATCTCCACCTCGCACACACATTCACCGGCCCTCCTGCGCTCCTGCCAGCACCGCAACCAGCCTGCCCGCAGCCAAGCCAACGCCAGGGCACTCAGCAGAGACCACCTCCAGCTGTGGATCTGCCAGAGCCTCAGAGGGGCACCTGCCCCCTCCAGAGAGGGGCAGCGGGAAAGGGACAGGGGGTGAGGGGGAAGGAACAGAAAGCTTCGTGAAAGCATCACGCAACCGCAGTGAGTGCAGACAACCGTTCCAGGCGAGAAGTGCGGGCGCACGCTGACGGACAAGAGGCGACCTGAGCAGGGGGGCTCTCCCCAGGGAAAAGGAAACCACCCTGACCTGATGCACTGCCAAGCCTAGGAGGGGGCAGCCGAGCTCCAACAGCTCCGCTTGCAGGGCTGGTGGTAATCCTGCCTGGGGATGGGAGCAAAAGGGGGCCTGGCCTCAGCACCCCGCAGACAAGGGGAGAGACCTGGTCTACGCAGCAGTGCTGTGTGGGAGAGGGCTTTCTAGCTCAAATGCTCCGCTCACCCACCCCACCTCATGCCTGTGGTTTGGAGGGCTCCAGAAGATCTCGCTGGATGTCTGTTAATATCTCTGGTGGCCTCCATCCTGAGTACCAAAGGGGAAAGAGGGAGGCCTGACCTAGTTATGACACCCAGGAGATAACCAGCAAGCAGCTGTCAGATCTTCCCCCCTTTCTCTTCTTCCCCTTGCCTTCCACATGGATCTGCCAGACGCGTGGATGGAGCCAAGGCACTGACTCTCTTCTGAAAAATTCACCAGTTGCTCCCAACTCTTGGGCAGGAGCTGGGGCAGGCAGGGGCTGGGACGTGCAGGCCTGGACGCTCCCTGTGGATCCCTGCGGGCCAGTGAGAGCACAGGGAGGGAGGGAGGCTGGAGCCTGCACTGCTTCTTGAGGCACATTAGCACAGGACCAAGGGAGACAGACATGCAAGGAGAAGGCCCTAGGCAAAGCACCAGGGCTTGTCAGGCAAGAGAGCCTCAGCACTGTGGCAGTTCAGCGAAGGCTCCCTCGTTCCCTGGTGCAGCCCACCTCGGGAGGGAGCTGCCGAGGGGACATGGGAAGGGAAAGCACCATAGGTGTTTCTTAAGGCCCTGTTCAAGTCGTCTCACTGGAACGAGTGTCAGAGCATCAGCTCGCTCCCAGCCTCCACCCTACATGTCAGGAGTCACAGGGAGGCGGTGAGGGGAGGAAAATCGACCTGAAGGGAGGAGAGGGGCACCAATATAACAGGACTTTCAATCCAGCACAAATCAAAGCACACCAATCTCTCCCATCCCTTCCCTTCCTTCCCCGGGGAGTGCAGAACCAGCAGAGAGCAGGCAAGGTGCTGTTAGAAGAGGAAAGGGAATGCAACGCAGTCCGGGCTGGCTGCTTCACCCACGCCCCATCCTCACCAGAGTTCACACAGACCCAACTCTTGCACACCTTCAAACCACAGAGCCACACAGATCGACCGTCCCCGACACGGCCCTGCACAGAGAGGAGTGTGGGCTGCACGCAGCCCGATGCAGCCAGGAGCAGGTTTCCAGGGTGAGGAGGAGAGGCTGGAAGGCAGCTAGAAATACACAACCACCAGGAGAGGGGTGAAAGAAGTTCTCTCACTCTCCCGCTTGCTCTCTCTGTCTCTGTTTCAGCCTCATCTCCCAATATTCACCCCCTTCCTCTCCAACTCCGCACCTCTAAATGGCGGAGTCGCTATCCCAGCCATGAGCAGTCCAGCTGGCCCTCTCGCCCAGAGAGGTCACTCTTTCTTTTTGATGTTATTACAGATTTTGTGATTGTCCTTACGACTACTGCAGGACGAAAGCTTATTTCTCTACTTTCCACAACCTTTTTACTTTTGGGAGGAAGGAAAGGGAAAGTTGCTCCTTAACCTCCTTCAGGTCACCAGAGCAAATCCATCAGATTGAAGAAAACTCTCATGAAAGCCTTCACCAAGACCCAGCTAGGACATCCACCTCCCTTTACACCCTCTTGGGCTCCCACCCAACCAAAACCAGCATCACATCCCGCATGGCATCAGTCCTGCCTCCACCAGGCCTCTATTGCCACCTCTCCTTGTAGCCAGCAGAGTTCCTACCCAAGCTGCTGTGAAAGAAGCCAGCAAGTACTCACTCAAGCAGCAAGAAAAAAATTAATAATAAAGAAAGGCAGCGATTTGCAGTAACCAGAAACACCCCAGGGAAGAGGGAAGGGAGAATTGGGGCTGCACCTTGAATCCATTCCGGTAGGACACACACGACGGGACTTCCCTGATTCGGGATAAAGCATTAGGAATGACTGCCATGGCCGTGGGTCATGCCAGCTCCAGGTCTGGGGTATGAAGGAAGGACCGTCAGATCTGGGTTTCTGTGCCCACCTGGAACGGATTCAGAGTGTCGCCCCATGCACTACCATATGCCATTTCCAAAACACCTTCTCAAAGTGAGTATCTCCAACCAAAGAAAAGGGCAAGGGGCAGGGGGGAGAGGAAACACCAACCAATCACCAAAAGAGAAAGGAGGAAAGGCTTGTCACTTACTTTTCTTGTTTGTTTTTGACATCTTTCTTTGGTCTGTGGGGGAAGAGAGAAAAAAGGCCTCATTAGAAGGGAGCTTACCACATATGCTTCCAGTATTATCCCCAGTCCCCACCAAGTCCAGGGAAGGACATGTACAGCTGGCACTGCAGGATGCCCATGGCACAGGTTAAGCGGTCCTCAAAGTGTTTGCTCTCCTGTTGCACCTCAACGACAGCCAGTGCCAAAAGACCCCAGGTTGCAGGCTAGTATTCTCCACCTGTGATATCTAGAGATGTGAGGAGCCTCGCCAGCAAAGGACTTCTTTTCCCAAGCTCAGCCATCCCAATGCAAACCAACTGAGGAGACTGCAGAAGCCTCTGGACAACAGTCCCAACCCAATGGCAGAAAAAAGGAAAGGCTCAGAATAGATTTATTGCAAGAGGAACCAGTGCTGCTCCATTCTCACCTGCAGTCACATTTACTGTAAGGGGCAGGGGGGAGAGGAAACACCAACCAATCACCAAAAGAGAAAGGAGGAAAGGCTTGTCACTTACTTTTCTTGTTTGTTTTTGACATCTTTCTTTGGTCTGTGGGGGAAGAGAGAAAAAAGGCCTCATTAGAAGGGAGCTTACCACATATGCTTCCAGTATTATCCCCAGTCCCCACCAAGTCCAGGGAAGGACATGTACAGCTGGCACTGCAGGATGCCCATGGCACAGGTTAAGCGGTCCTCAAAGTGTTTGCTCTCCTGTTGCACCTCAACGACAGCCAGTGCCAAAAGACCCCAGGTTGCAGGCTAGTATTCTCCACCTGTGATATCTAGAGATGTGAGGAGCCTCGCCAGCAAAGGACTTCTTTTCCCAAGCTCAGCCATCCCAATGCAAACCAACTGAGGAGACTGCAGAAGCCTCTGGACAACAGTCCCAACCCAATGGCAGAAAAAAAGGAAAGGCTCAGAATAGATTTATTGCAAGAGGAACCAGTGCTGCTCCATTCTCACCTGCAGTCACATTTACTGTGCTGTAAGAAGCTCATGTGCGCTATGTGCTGACTCTGATGGGGTTTAATTCTCATGATCTGGAACGAAAGAAACAGAGAGGGTCACTGCCCATTCACTATTTACACTCACAGCTCCAAATCAGCCCGCTGCGCGGCAAAGCATTTGCACCCCAGGTGCTCCTGGGAAAAGCATGGCAGAGTTTGAGCTGGCTTTGAGGCCCCATTCTCCCAAGTCAGGGAAGGCCTTTGATCACAAGCAAGAGGCAGCACCAGGCTCGTGCCAAAGCTCTGTTTGCTCATGCATGCAAGCTGCCAGCACTGGTGGACTGCCTTGGAGACAGCCATGGGAGAGGGTGTAACACCATGGCAAGGTTCTCACTGAGCCGTCCCTGGTCGATGCTAGAGAGCCGTAACGGAGCAGTCAGCCTGCTCTCACGTAGAGACATGTTTCAGTCTAACGCAAAGGCCCAAAGCAAAAGCTCCATATCCGACCCCTTTTTGCTAAGCCACCGCTCCTTCCCAGCTGACATCTCACTTTCTCAGTGACTCGACACACACAATAAATCTGGTCATCTGTGCTTGAAACAGCCCTGCAGAGCCAGACATTGCCCAGCCCAAGCCTCACGTGCCTCCAGGGAAGTTATACGGGACGTTATGCATGTACTGTCAAGTCTCTCAACCCAGAGCCTGGCTGGACCACCAGCTCTAACATTTGCACCAAGGATCTGCTCAAGTGCCTCTGACCCTTTACAGGCATGTGAGCGTACCAGCCAGAAACTGTAATTCAGCAAGGAATGGTAGGAAGAAAACCATCCCTAGCTACACCACGCGAGTAGGCTCTGGCCCAGGCTGGAGTCTGCAAGTGGAAAAGCAGTATGGGGAACCATGGAAGGGCACAGACAGGTTCTCCGCCAGAGTTCAAACACAGCTCAAGCGACAAGTAAAAAGAGCTTGCTGGTAATCATAGACCTGCACATCTCTCATCCATATCAAAAAGAGATGGCAATATTTACAGTGGCCATTCAAGAGGCTGAGGGACAAAAGTAGGCGAGGGAGCTATGGGATGAGGGTAATGGGCACCAGCACCATTGTGGACACAAGCTGGGATCCAGGCGGGCAGACAAGGGCAGTGACAAAGCTCTCTAAAGCAGGGTTTGCATCTTCCCCATGTGCCCAGCCTTTGCTATCACGGCCATCTCTGTCTCTTCCAAGGAATGAATTCAGCAGCCTCCAAACAAAGGAGGAGGACGAGCAGAGGCAGGAAGGCTTTTCCACTTGACACTGAAGCAGTGTGTTTCTTAGAGCCCCTTTCCACCCCTGCTGTGCCAATGTAGCTAATGACCCAAATCCCCTGCTCTGTTGGTAAAGGCTGACCTCACATGCCCTCCAGGGGAGAGTACTGACAGGCTTTCCCCTTCTGCACTGCTCAGCTGCCTTCAGAGCAACAGCTGTGGGACCAAACGCAGAGTTAAGGTGGAGCAAGGGCCCAAGGAGTATCTTTGTTGGGGCCTCAGAAAGAGCAGCATCAGAAATGCTCCTTTGCATTCTCTAAGCATGAAGAGTTCCTTTGCGGAAATGCTCCTTTGCATGCTCCTAGCTACTGTATTTGGGCACTTGCGAGGACAGAGCCAAAAAACAGATTGTCCTCTCAGCCTTGAATAGAGATGGGCAACTCATCTTTTAGCCCTGCATGGTGTAATCCTGGGCACAAGGGACAGGAGAGAGCTGAGCCCTCCTGATCTGGCAGTCTCCAGTTCCCTGGGGTAAGCTGCCCTTCCTCTGAATTAGCTGGGAGTTGGGACTTGGGAGTGGCTGTGATGGCTGACTTGCTTCCTCCACCCAAGCATGCCAGCTTGCAAGCTGGGCCCTCACCTCCATCGTGACGTTGTACACATCCACAGGGACACATTCTAGGCCCTCATCGCCGCAGCAACCCGCACATCTCATCAGAGGCACACAGGATGGCTTGAATATGTACTCCACCTCATCAGGGTACTCCTGGAAAATGTCCACCAGGGTCTCAATTGTCCTGCAGAAGCTGCGCTCGTAGACTTCCAGGAATTTGATAACTGAAAGGAGGAATGGAGGGAATAAGTTAATGCAAACCTAGCTCAAGAACATCTAGCGCTTCACCCCTTAAAATGAGCCAGGCAGCTGCAACACATCTACCCTATGCTCTTCACTAAGAGTCTTGCAGGCTTAAGTCCTTTGTCTCTGCCCTACACACACACAAGTCGGGTGGGGAAGAGAAAGAGACAATCTCTTCCTACCACTGCTTCAGGGCAGAGGCAAGATAGTCAAGAGAGCCTCACTACTTGCCTCCCTGGCACCATGATGCATCCCACAAGTGCCTCGTCCCCAGACACCTTTCCTGCTATCCCCTATACTCTCGGATACGATGCCATAAGCATATCAGCTCAGCCAAAAAGCACCTGAGGCTGCTGCAGATGACCTGCACTCTGGGATTAAGGCCCTTCAGCAGTTTGCCTTCTACCCCCTTTCAAAACAGCCAGTGGATGCCTCAGTGGGTTTTAGAAGGCAAGGTGATAAGCCAGAAGCATCCTTTCCACAGACCTCAGCGCAGAGACACTTCCGAGAACAAGCAGAGGGTTCTGAACCAATGCATCCACGTATGTTCACTCTTCCCATCAGCTACCTCTTTTGCCCACGCACAACATCCAATTCAGAACCACGAGAGCACCTGCTACAAGCCACAGCCTCCATGTCTCCACGCTGACCACTCTCCCAGACCAAGGAATCAAGCCACCCACCCAAAGACTGAAAGCAAGCCCACAGCACCCCCAGGATTAACTAGACCATACACTTGGCTACTGAACCACAACGAGGTAGTGTGGGAGGGGGAACAGGGTGGATCTGCCATTATCCCCTGCCTTCCCTCCGAATGAAGCAAACACTAACTGCTTGCGATCTGCACTGATTTCACAAGCGTTTCTCAATGTTTCCCAGTCTCTTGCCAAAGCTTCATTTTGCTGCTTGGTCAAGGGTTGGAGAGATTTAAAGAGATGAGAGATAGCATAGGAGAGTACACACGCACAAAACCCAGCTGCTAGCACAGTTCTGCAAACACTGAGTAAGTACCTGGAGCCCTCCAGGCCTCCTAGCTCTACCCCAACACAGGCAAAGGAGGATGTCTCAAATGGAGCAGAGGATAAGAGTACACACAAAGAGATAGTACCTGCCCCATGCTGTTATGCACTATAATGATCCACCTGTACAGTATGCAGAGTCCTACAGCACCAAGGTTGATAACTCACAGTGATAAGCACAAACTGCTTGCATCATGGAAAAAAATGGTCTCCGGTAAGCGTTTCTAAAGTGCCCTGAACTTGTGACAAACTGGCATAAAGGTTACTTTGCCACAAAAATGCAAAAGCTGCAGGGCTTGGAGCTCACAGCCCGCAGTTAATTGTTGAAAGTTAATTCTAGGTCATGCAGAGCTGACAGTGCCACAGTGCTGAGAGCGGGTACAAGAGGGGAGGAGCTTCCATCCAGGGAGTTTGAAGTGTCAGAGAATGTGAGCAGCTATTAAAAGAGAAAGCGGCTTGTGAAAGGGAAATGCAGCCTGGCAGGCACGGACTGCTTGTTGGTATTCCTCATCTAGAAGACAGCATGTTTCTGTTCCTTGTCCCTTCCCTTCCTCTTCCCTCCTCCCCTAGCTGCAGTATGACTCCTCTCTGTTCTCCTGTCTTGTCTGCAGCTACCTCCTTCTTCCCATTCCCCTTCCGAGTGACCTTAGTCACCGCCTATGTTCCAACAAGTTGAACAATTTAATATGTGGGAAATTCGGCAGGCACAATGACAGCCACTGAGCTGCACTGTTGATTATTCACACTGCGCCAGCAGAAAGGACCTGGGAACTCGGGCAGTAAAGGCACAGTTCTGGATAAAACTGCTTACAGACCTACGTCGAGGGGAGGGAGGGAAGAAAAGAGGGAGGGAAAGTGGCAGTTACCTGTGCAGATCAAAGGCTGCTCACCTCAGTAGTCTGGGGCATAAAGAGGCAGAAACCGAAACAAGAGTAGAAAACTGAAGTGAAACCGATTCACGTCCACCAGGCTTCTTAAATGTTTGTACTGCGCAAGCAGCTGGATTACACCAGAGAATCCGGGCTACAGATTGGCCACAGAACAGCACATTCAACTTCTTCCGCACAGCCTTCACTTTCACGGCTGCGCCCTGATGACTATACTTGAGATTTGGGACATCTGACAGGACCTTCCCATAAAGAATCTGGGAGTTTTTGCCTTTACCATATGATGATTTTCCAAAGCCTGAATCAGCCTCTGAAAAGGCAACGGGGCATCTCCAGCTGCCAGTCAGAACATCCTGCCACGAAAGGCGTGTTGCCTGGATCTCGCTGGACACAGAGCATTCACCCAGAGAGGCTGTGCTACGCTCCATAGTTCATTTGCACAGTTAGCACCCAAACCGGAGCACATGACTGAGGTACAGTCATCCTCACAGCAAAGCCCTGCCCCTGCTACGGTACCTACACTTATTCCTATGTACCAGGAGTCATATTCCACACTTTGCTGGGGCTGATTCAAGCTGTGCTTTCTTTCCATTGGTTGTGTCAGGGACGGAAGAAGGTCTGTCTTTCATGGGAAACATAGGAAGGTCACTGAAGGACTAACACCACTTGGCCTGCTCCCTGCCTGCAATTTGGGCTTCAGCCCACGGTGCAAGCCAATCCCACATTTAACCCACGCCCCTACCCTACAGAACACCTCCAGATTTGAGTCAGAGGCTCTTCCTTGTGAATGGAGAGGGAAGTAAGGTTAAAACCCAGTCAGGGCCCACATTAACTCTTCAGGGCAGACATAGCCACGGCAAGCAGGATTAAGTTCAAATTTGGAGCAGTCGAGAGGGAACATGCTAGGCTAGAAAAGGAGCAAGTCTATGATCATTTTGCCTCACCCCCCGTCAATGGCTCAGCAGCAATACAGACACGCTGTTCTTTTAAAAATAAAAGTGCAGCCACAAGTGCTGGTGGTTTCCTTTATTTATACCAGAAAATCTTTTCTCGTGGAACAAACAAAGAGTGTTTGTCTGACTCCTCTACAACTTCCCGTGCCACAAAACATGTGGAAGGCTCTCTTGAGCACAAAAGGGTAGGGGCTGAAGCTAAAATTACAGTCTCCAACCAGAGTAAGCCCATCCCAAACAAAAACCTGTCACAGCTCGACATCTCAGAGCAAGTACAAAATGGCCAAAGACACAAAATCACCTTTCACCCCAACCCCGAAGACCCCCAAAGCTTCAGTGGAAGGAACTGCAGGACTGTCCTTGTGGAACACAGGCACATCGTCGTCTCCTCTCCAGAGAGGAGAAACTGAGGTACTGAGAGAGGACCTCCAAGGTCATACAGCAGGACAGCAGTAGAGGCAGGAAGGCAATGCCAAGAGTCCCGATTTCTAGCTCAGAGATATATCTGCATCGCAGAACCAGAAATAGCACCAAGGCAATAGCACCAAAGTCTCACCGCTCAGATTGCCAGACCAGCTTCTCCCGCAATCCCGTCAGTCTTCTTGTGACAGGGAATTAAACTCGGTTTGATTCTTCCCCTCCCTGGGAAGGTAGCTGGACACAAAAAAGATGAGGACACTAGCTCTTTTCTACCAACAGCAAAGGACTGGTTACCAAAATAAGCCTCACAGCAGGCTCCATCTTGATCCCTCTGGAGTCACTGAACCTTCTTCTGTTGACTTCAGACGG